TTTAGGGTTTAGGAGGATAGGCCTAATATAGTAAGGCCTACCAGGTTTAAAGTTCTCCCAATGGCTATCTAAGAAACATCAGGAAGGACAGCGCGATCTCGGGTGTGCCAGCACTCGAACCCTCCCCTGAGTAGCCGCCTTTGGGCGTACTCATGGCTCTAAAACGCCTATGGGCCCTAAACCTTAAATCCCTAAAGTTAACCCTAAACCCTAAATCCCTAAATGCCATTAAATCCCTAAACCCCTAAAGGCTCTTGCACATCTGAGAATCCGAGGGCTTGGGCCTGAAAATGGCTTTGGGCCAGGCATCAATCAAGCTCCCGCACCTCCAATCTGGTGTTTAGGGTTTAGGGTTAGGGGCTGGCATCTCCAAACCCAGAATCCCAAAAAGCCATGATTCCGAGTCCACCTGTGAGTGTTCCTTTAAGGGTTCTGCTTGAATTTGGGTTCCTTTCAGGGTCCCTTTAAGGGGCTCTATCAGGGTGCTTTCGGGGATTCCTTTCCAAAACATCCCAGGAACCCCAAGAGCCTTCGATGCCAGGGTGATGGCAAGTCATGCTTGACATGGACGAGGAAATCAGCTTCATCCTCGGGGCATCGGGTTTCGGGCTTCGGGTTTTGGGGGGTGGTTTGAGGAGCCGGCGAGATCCTGCGAGGCAGACTTCAGGATCATAATTTTAGGGTGTGTGCTTTCTGTTCATGTTAGGCTTCAGGGTTGATGGTTTGCTGGTGTTAGGGGGTGTGCTTTTTCATGTCGGGGTTCAGAGGGGCTATGGACCTTCCAGTACGTGCGGAGGGTTGAGGGTTCAAGGTGAAGGGCTCAAGCCCGAAAGCCTCAAACCCTGAACCCCAAAACATCTCCAAGAAGCCATTGTCGGTTTAGGGTTTAGGGTTTCGGACCCTTGGTGAAAAAAGCAGCCGCTTATTAGCCTGACTGTACGGCGAAACCTGAAAGCCTGTAAAGCGAGTAAAACAGCCAAGGCAAGCACACTTCCGGGAAGTCACGAAGGTCCAGCTGGACACCTGGGTGGGGTTGCAATTGTGGAGGCGCTTTTCTAGGCATCCTTGAGGGATAAGAGTGTAAATTCAAAGTGCTAGGCCCCAAAACCCGACATCTTAAGGCCCAAGCCTCAACCAAGCGGCCTCTAAGTTTCCTGAAAGCCTGTGTTTTGACGGCAGAAGCCAGAGGGAGTCGAGCGGAACGCTACGTCTGAACGACGCTATGTCACGACAGATTGGCGTTAGAGCAGCCTGCAACATACGGCTGATGGACAAAATCCTGCATGACCTTATATACCTAAACTATGGGATTTATGGTACTATACTATATTTGGGTCATGCAGAATTTTGTCCATCAACAGTAGGGGCCCTGACGAGTGGTGTATTCTTCCTCAGGGTGTGGTTTCTTTCTGTAAACATAGCACACTATGCCAAAAACCCCTTCCCTAAGAATTTATAGCCACAGCTAACCCCAACCTAAACCCTAAACCCTAAACCCTAAACCCCAAACCCTAAACCCTAAACCCTAAACCCTCAACCCTCAACCCCTACCCCTTCAGCCCGGATCCTGACACCCCCAATCTCAAACCTTACCTCCAATACAGGGGCCTTAGTGATTAGGATAGGGTTTTGAGACCCATTCTACTGGTTTTTTGATTAAACCATATTGGTCCATATTGGTTTAGGGTTTAGGGTTTAAGGTTTAAGGTTTAGGGTTTAGGGTTTAGGGTTTAGGGTACATTTAGGATCCTCTAAGGCGGCCGCACCAAGGAACTTCAGTGGAGATTATGGGTACTTCTACACCCCAGAACTCCCAAAGCCCTGCACGCCGAACTCCACAAAAAAAACTCTGAACGAGGGAACCCACCGCCGAACCCTCTGAAAGCCTCCCAGAACCCTAAACCCAAAACCCTACAATCCCGGCTGTCGCCCCCCCCCCCCCTAGCTTCAAACCCCAGCCCACCACACTAAAAGTCCGTGACGCCGGGTTTAGGGTTACGCCGAAAGTTTTACTCATGAGATCCCTCCTTGATTGAACAAACAAACCCCCCGACTCGTAACTGCCGATTACCCCAGCAGAGTGGCCTTGATAATTGGAATTTGGTGTTGAGTGTACATCCTACAAAACTCTAATACAGACAAACCCTACGGATCCCTACCATCCCTAAACCCTAAACCCGAAACCCAAAGGCACCCTCAGCCGTAAACCCTCTACTTTAGCCCTGACCTCCCCTGTTTGTTTTGGTGTACGTGCCCAAGGCCGCCACGAAGCTCACCCTTCGAAAAGCTATGGTAAGCACAGCCCATATCCATGACGGGACGGTTCCTGCGCTGATTTTGGGCGGAAAGCTTCGAGGATTGCGGGTCAAGTTTACAGAATGAGGAGGGTTTAGGGTTGCCCAAAACCCTAACCCCTAAACCCTAAACCTAGGGCTTGAGGTTTAGATGTGGGGGTCTTGGGACTGGAATCTTAAGGCCGAAGGCTTAGAAGTTTTGCCTG